AGTGGCGGGGATCTTTAGCTGCTTTGCGGTGCTTGTTTCGGTGGCGTGGTTCTTCACGCTGTTGAAAGTTCCAGAGACCAAAGGCATGCCTCTGGAAGTAATCACCGAGTTCTTCGCAATGTCTGCCAGGCCCAAAACTCTGGAAGCAAAAGCTTAGGAATTGTATGTCACCTTCCAGTAAAGAAAATTCTTACTGACTACTAAATTCAAATTAAATTAAAATAAAATGTTGTAAGGTTTGTAGATACATATATTACACTGGTTAAGTAATATGCTAATTATAATACTATAACATATAGACTGTCTATTTTGAATGGAATTTAATCCATCCATTATTGTATATAAGTAAAAATTTAAACTCTAATTAATATATTTATTCTTATATCATTTACATTGGTGGAAATGAAAGGCATTATAATTTGTCCTTGAAAAGCAAAGTTTTTTTGGTAATGTTTTGCTCTAGTGTTTGAAATTGTGTTTTTTATTCTTATTTCTTCATTCTCTTTTAAATCTAGATTTGTATCAACTTTTTGCAAGATCTAGAACACTAGTTATTGCTTGTTTAGATCTACTTTTTTTTTTTAATCTTCATTGCATTCTTGTCTCTTACCAACTATGTTGTCATCAATCAAGGAGTATGTCACTTAAGGCTGCTAATGGTGCTCTGTTAGATCAAGTTTTTGGTGCAGTGAGGTATGATCATGTTGATATTGCACCCATCCTTTGTGTGTTACAGTCTCTAACTTTTGTGAGATGTGATTATATGACTTATTTTGTTCTTGGTATTATGCCATCTCTCATGATTGTGATATCAATTAGTGAGCTATGGATGATGTAATTTGGTTCTTAGAGAATGTTCAAGGATCAAATTTATAGGAAGATGATATGTATGAGCTTGGGTGGATTCCAAATCGTTTTGACAAGTCTAATTATTATGGAGATAGCTTTAGAGATGAAATAGAGATTTCATAAGGTAGGTATCAATCTTTCAATTTACCATTTGATCCTTTATCTTTACCTTCTGTTTTTTCCAACATTTTTTTATTTCTTAGCCTAAATGTTAAATATATGCATGAAGGTGAGATTTTTGTTTTTATTTTGTTGGCAAAGTCTTTGATCAATTTTGGTGTTGAATATTTTTTTATTCCAAAGGTTGAGTCACTTTAGCCAAAGTTTTGGGTTGAGTGTGTGTCCTCATTTGTTAATGATATTGAGAGCTTTTATTTTTCCATTAATGTTGAGGAATTTATGTATTCCCTTGAGAGTGTGAATATTATTATTAATTTTCTTGTCTCAATAATTGAGTTATGTGTTGAGGAGGTTGAGCAGTGTAAATCTTTTGTTTATATTGTGGTAATAGAAGTATTTTATGATATGAAGTTCTTTATTTTCCAAGCTTTAAGCATATATCTTTCTTTGATTTCCCTATTTTTGCATTGTTAATTGTTGTAAATTCCTTTTCCAATGCTTTTTTATCCATTTTTTCTTCTTCTACACTATTTCTTTCTCCTCTTTGCCCTGATGCTTCAAAAAATGTTTTTTTCAAAGGAGAGGGTAAAGGGGGCAGATGGGTGTCTGGCTTGATGATAGAGTAATGATGAATAAATATAATAGTGGAGCAAATGTAAATGACATGGATTGTGGGATAAGGATGAATATAATAAATTCAAATGAAACATCTAACCCTAATGTAGTGAGGCTATACAAATGTGATAGTGAAGTGAGTGTAATCAACTAAAGGGAACGACTCAAGAGACGATCCATAGGGGTTCAAATATAAAGGGAAAGGGCCCATGAACAAAAGTGCACCTTTTTTTTTAATTGATTAAGGGTTTTGGGATATTTGAGGTTAAGCATCCTTGGGTTTGAATAGTACTGAGCTAGGTGACTTCCCAAGAAGTTCAAATTCAAAAGCTTACAGTGAGGCTTTAGAATGAGGATGAGAATTTGAACAGAGCTAGTGCTTAAAAAAAAATCTTCCTTCAAAGAGGGGATAAAAAGGATGTGGTGGACAAGTGGAATGAGTCCAATCTTTTATATATAGTGCTAGATAAAGACAAAGAGGTAAATTTTACTTATGGTCATAAGTTTGAGTTAATAGTGGTCTTGGAAGATTATTAGCAAGAAGACTTAAACACGGGATGTATCATTAAAAAGGATGTGGTGGACAAGTGGAATGAGTCCAATCTTTTATATATAGTGCTAGATAAAGACAAAGAGGCAAATTCTACTTATGGTCATAAGTTTGAGTTAACAGTGGTCTTGGAAGATTATTAGCAAGAAGACTTAAACACGGGATGTATCATCTATTGCAATGATATTTCATGGACTACAGCAGTTCTTAAAGTTTTTGCTTTTATTTAAAATTATGGATTTGAGGTTGGTTTAAACATTTAGCAGTTGCATATGAAATTACAATTAATTCATTGAGATTTATAGTCAACTGATGCTTATGCCATAGCTTTAGATTTTATTTCAATCATGGTTGTCAAAAACTTTGTTAATGGTTTTGTGGGAGCTTCAAATTCTTATAGTAATTTATAATCACTTAGCAGAAGCTCTAAATATTCCATCTGACTTATTTTTATCACTTTTTTCATCTTCTAGAGGGGAGGATGATATCAAGTTTTTAAATACATACATACATACATATATATAGAGTCAGAGAGAGAGAGAGAGAGTTGTATTACTCTACCTTAATAATACATTAATTATAGTACTATAACATATGTACTGTCTATTTAGAATTGAATTTAATCCATCCATTTCTATATATAAGCAGCCAAATAATATATTTATTCCTATATTTTGAGCACATATAGTGTAATATAATTTAGCAGAATATCTAAAAAATTTCATGTTTTCCTAAAAACTAGATATATATTATTTATTTGTGTTCTAATTTAGCTAAGTTAAAAAAATTAAAATATTTATGAAAAACTTATGTCATACCATTTATCTTTACCACAAATTTAAAAATGATAACTTGGTTCGGTTAAAGTTTTAGATACTGAAATTGAATGTTGAAATATTTATAACTATATTAATTATAAAATAGCATTTTGGATACATGCAATAAAATTTATTCCACTATTTTAAAATATCAAGCAATTTACACTCTTTTGTTCAAAACTAAATTAAATAAGTTTTCACTAAATTAATTAACTATAAATAAAAATCTATTTAAAATTTAAAATTTTTACTTATTTAAAAGTTATTATCTTGAATTTTTCACTTCTAAATAAATTTTTTTTAAAAATAACTACTTTGAAATTTATTCTAAGTGGGACATACTCTATTGTCTTTTAATAAATTAAAAACTTAATGACTTAAAAGTTGATTATATCTTTCTAGCAAATCAATTTAAATGTAAATTAATTGTATTATATTTTTATAATATTATTTATTTATTTATTTCTAAACACTATTATAATGTAAATGATCATTTCTATTGTTTATTATTTCAAGTTGTGAATATATAAGATATAAATATACTATAATAAAAAATTTAAAAGAGGATTGATTAAAATTAAACTACAATATATATATTTCAAATATTTATGTTATTATTTATTATTTTTAATATTTATAACTAATATTTCACTTTGGTGACCCAGTGTTAAAAAAAAATAATACAATTATATATCCAATAAATTGATAAAAATACCTATATGATAAATTAAATAATTTTTTATTGTTTTAGAATAAATACTTTTACAAATAAAGTTCATAAAGAACTAAATGTTATTAAAGAAATGGTAATTAATAGGGTTTATTATGTGAATTTTACATTCTAAAATTTATACTTCCAACATTTAAATACTAAATCCTCCTTTTTGGTTGCCATAAGAGTTTCATCTCCTACATTATTTATCAAAAAAAAAAAAAAAAAAATCTTGATTAGCAATTAATTATGTCTTTGAATCCCAAGTCCACTTATTAAAATACATAGGAATTTTTAAAATAGTTTTAAGAACAATAAAAATATTTTTTATGGCACTACTATTCTTTTTTATTGCAACAGTGAGATAAATTAAAAGGATGTATTATTTTATTTTTTATCCTTAATTAAAATTAGTTCTGAATAAGGTGAGATATATATTAAATAAAATGTTACATCATATGGTAATAAAAGAGAATATAAAATCAACTAAATTTTTTTTTATTTAATTAATTTACATACTACAACAAGTAATTTGTTATTTGTTATTTAACATAGACTACTTTTAAAAGTTATATTGCTTCAAAAAGCAATATATATCAACTAACTTTCTGATCTTTATGTAATACTGGTTGTACAAGTTAAAATAATTATCCATCCTCATGAAGTTTCTTAAAAACTTTATACTTGCTTTTAATTTGTATACTTCATTTGCCAATAGCTATAAAGTTTGGAGTTTCTATTGTGTTTTGGATCCTTTTTAATTTTTTAAATTCAAAACTTGAAAGGAAGAGGTCATTTAAAAGTGACTACTCATAAAGAAATTTGTCCAACTGAACAAATTACTACAAAGGCCATCAAAAACTTTTCAAAAGCCTTGCAATTCTGCTTTATCTCTTCTTTCTTCCTTAGTCCCTCAAGATTGATTACCTGGTTAAGTCCAAACTGGCAATCACATCCTTGTAATCCTTCTCATGTTTCATGGTTGTATCAATCAATCACATTAGTAAGTTATTAGGTCACATTTCTCCCTGATAACTTTGCCAAGGAGATCTCTCTAAAGAGATTTATGATGGGACTAAATAGTTCTTGTGGAGAACGAGGCCAGGATGTGAAGAGGGAGAAAATTTCTCTCTCGCTCTTTCAATGCTTACTGCAAGCGTTGATCCAGGAGGAAACCCTAGTGGGAGGACGGGGAGGATGGCGAACTTGGCCGGAGAAATCCAGGAGGAAATCCAGTGTCCCATCTTGGATAAAACTAATAATCTGAGAATATTCAGCGAACCAATCGGATATTCGTTACGAATGAATGTTTAAACCCTAGGCATGCGCTCTAGGGCTTTAGGGAGCGAGAGAATGGCGTGGGGAAAGGCCGCGAGCAGCGGCACCGACACCAGCGATGGCGGTGAAGGCGGCGGCGGCGGCATTCGCTTCCCACGGGCGTGTTTCAAGACGCGAATCGATGCGGCATCCAGGTCCGCGGTGGGCGTCCTCACGGTCGAGGCGGGCGATTTGCTCCTCCGCGCCTCTTGCACCGACGACACCTTCGCCAGCGGCCCATCCCTCGACGGCCTCTCCCTCGGCGTCGAGAAGCCCGGCTCCTTCCTCTTCGACTACGATCTGGGCTCGCGCTCCCCAAAGTTCCACTTCTCCAGCACCGCCAGTGTCATGGGCTCCAGGACGCTCAATCTCTGCTACACCCACCACCAGAGCGATCCATCCTCCACCGCGGTCGAGGCGGCGCTCACGCTGGATCCCAAGAACAAGCTCGGCCTGAGCTACGATTTCGCGTCCCAGGCGGGGAGAGTGAGGTACTCGTTCGTGCACGATCGATCTGGGGCTTGCTTGGAGCCGGCATTCCACCTGGGAACCAAGACGTGGGATTTTGGAGTGTCGAGGAAGGTGAGCAAGGAGGATAGCATCAAGGCGACGTACAAGGGGCTGGACAAGAGCATTGCCGTGGACTGGTCGAGAGCGAGCAAGGATGGAACTGGGCCTTTCAAGATCTATGCGGACATTCCACTCGCGAGAGAGAGCTCCAAGCCGCCAAAGCTGATGATGGAGAAAACTTGGAGCTATTGATATTCCTTCGTTCGTTCATTCGATCACTCTTGATAAAGCCTAGTTTTTTTTTTTCTTTCTTTGAGTTAAATAGTTTTTTCCTTCTTTTTTTGAGATAGTAATGGAGAAATCTGTGGATGGTAGGCACTAAAAAAAACATTTGGAGATGGGAGGTATCGATCCTCCTACCTATGCCGATCGTCGTACATCGCTCTACCATTTGAGCTACATCCCCTTGCTTTGACAATTAGAATTAGATTAGTCTAAACAAGGATAATAGGAAGTGTTCTTCGCTTGGAATTCCATTTCCAGGGAGCGTTACGAATGATAGAGTTTGTTAAGGTCGCTTCGTGCCGCTGCTTCAGCCACTGCGAGCTGATCGTTGGCATCCAACGCAGCCGTCTTTCTGTACTCCTCAATCTCTTTCTGAGCAATCGAGAGTGCACGATAATGCCTTCTGGTTTCCCTGCAAACACCAAGATACCAGGTTGATCGATCAGGAAAGCGTGCTTGCTTACCCCAAGAGTTTCTGGCTCTTGGACAAATCGTGCTCAAACTTCTGCCGAGCTTGTTCCAGCGTCATGATCACCTGGAGTTTACACGTAAAACTTGCGGATTGTCACCTCCAAACTCTGGGAGCATACCTCGTTTAACTCGGCATTGGCTGCTCCGTGCAAGCTTCGGGCCTCCATTATGATTTCTTCGGGCAGGCCCAGCCGTGCTGCAATGTTTAGAGCATTCGAACGTCCTGCAAACCAAACAGTACGATACTACACGCTCCATGAGTTACTACTATTCACCTGGAATCCCCCAAAGAAGTCGGTAAGTTGGTTTGAGCTTCTCTTCGTCAAACTCTACTGATGCATTCTCGAATCTATCATCACTGTAACAAAAGTAAAAACCACAACTGAGGCGCTTATAAAATGCCTGTTGAATAGCACTTGCCTATATTTGAGCATCTTGAGTTCTCCATGATGTGTTGTGGCCAAAGTGAGAAGACTACCAGCTGCAAATGACTCCAGCATTGCCATTCCTAAAGCCGCGCCTTCCACAAAGTCTGTACCAGTTCCAACCTGCAAAACCTTCGAACATTTATCCAGCACTAGCTAAATGTTGCAGCAAACCGACCTCGTCCAAAAGAACTAGAGAAGAGCTCGTTGACTCCTCTTTGATGCGCTGCAAAAATGTGTAAGCTCGAAAACTCTGGCCGCCTTCCCATACACACCTTGATTCTGAGCAAATGTCCGGAGAACGTTGATAAAGACTGGCTTAACGATTGTTGATCTCCTATATCAGCAAGAACTCTGTCAACCCATGGAATTAGAGCTGGTTCTTTGGCTAAAACGTAAAGTCCTGCGAAAAGGAATTTTTCTAAGGAACAATAGGCATAAACACTGAAGCTTACCTGCTCTGGCCATTAGCACAGCTAATCCAAGCGTTTTGATAGCAGCAGTCTTGCCTCCCGTATTCGGTCCAGTAATGGTGACAACTTTTGTTTCTCTCTTGATAAGGAAGTCAATGGGAACGGGTACGGAGGCCTCCAGCTCCGCAACCTAGCTGATTGAATGTAAAAGTTAGAGACAGCATCTGAAATCGATGATTACTTCTTCTTCAGCTTTGGTAATAGCTTCCTCTGCCGCTTGATAGTCCTGAGCACTGGTGAAAGCCCGTGACTTCATCCTGTTAAGAATCTGGAGAAGCTTTGTGGTGAGTGTGCAAAATAAAAGGCAAATATGTCAACCTTCCGTTTCGTGTTCAGTTTTGCTTTCGCGTCACGTAAGTTTCCACGGTGTTGTTCTAGTAACAGAGGATGTCTGGCCCCTTCCAAAAGAACTAGAAACTCGTCCAATGTACTCTCCGATTCGTCTCTTTCCGCATGTACAAATGAAGGTCTGGTCGCTCCAATAGAAGAGCTGTATCTTCCACGAGCCAGCACCTACACAGATCCAACAAGTTAAGGATAACAAGGCAGTGAAGCTTACCACATCAAAATCTGCAACAATATCCAATGTGAAAGAAAAATTGCTGAGAAAAGGTCGCAACTGAAGTATCCACAAAACCAGACTCAGGAAGCTATAGCAACAGCGGAGATGTAAGAAAGGAAGACCTTCGTCGTGAGATCATCCAGAACACGATATTCAGCTTGAGCAGCATCTGCTCTAGCCTGCGACAAACTGTTGTTTAATGCAACAGCTGCAGAAGGTTCTACGTAGGAAACTAATCCTCCAGCAGAACTGCAAAAGATGTGATATGGAAAGCAGTCGTTGCAAGACAAGATTACCTTTGCAAGAGTAGACCCGGCACTTTCGAATTGTTTTCAGTAGAAACTGCCACGCAAAGCCTTCCATCAAGGCTGGCAACCTGATAACATTCAACATGATTTTCACCTTCTGAAGACAGCGTAATAAACAAACCTGACCATTAGGATCGCCAGCAAGCCTGTCGATGACAATCCTCGTCATAAGCTCTTGAAGCTGTTATAAATCATACATCCTCTCCACGGTATCCAAAAGCATTCAATCAGTAGTACCTTTCTCTCGCACGAGGCTTGTTCCATTCTCGCAGTTCGTAGCTCGGGGCTCTGCAATATAAACGTCAGCAGCAAGGAACACTAGTTCAATCATTATACCGCTGAATCTTTCACCGAACCATCGTCGTTAACAGCGTTCCAGATCGTCTTTGTAGTATCAACGTCGGCATCAATGGAGCAAAGCTGACAAGCAAAACGTCGCAGTTAGCTTGTAGAAAAGTGTGTCCATGCTTACCATATCATAGATAGGACGCAAAATCTCTTGTTTCTCCTTGTTTTCTTGAAACGAAGAGAAAGCAGCATGCCTGAGAGAACGAGCTGCTTCAAGCATAGCGGCAAGGGCAGCAGCTTCTTTGCCCGATAGAGCAACTCCTTTGCTAGCACGAGTCAATCCAACTTTAACCTGCAGGGAAGAAGAAAAATAATTCCTACAGCAATCGTATCAAACTTTGTGTTACCACATCTGTTTGGATTGCTCCAAGGTCACAAGAATTCCCACGAAGAGCTTCAAACTCCAATGCGCCATGAGTCTCCGAGAGAAGCATCTCACTGGCACTCTCAGTGCTGGGCAGTTCGAGAACCTGGAGAGAACGCACGCCTCAAAGTATCAGCAAAAGCTAGAAATTTTCCTTCAAGGAACCTGGAGGCGTTCCCTTCCCAGCGCAGTGCTAGCAAAGCTCGAAACAGCACTGGACAGTCTCTTCCATTCCAGCACCTCGAGAGTCTCTTGCGCAGCGCTCATTCGCGCAGCAGCTCTCACGATCAAAACCCTGCGCAACGAACGCTCAATCCATGAAATGCGCAATCCGATTCAGCTCAAATGCTCAGTGCTACACAAGAGATTGACATCTCAGCTCACCGATTGAAAGAAGAAGAGGCGGCATTGAAGCAGCAGCGCCTCGGCAATGGCATGGCGCCATAGCCGAGCGCCAAAGCCATTGGCGATAACAAGTAGCCCTAAAACCTAAAAAAATGGAGATGGGAGGTATCGATCCTCCTACCTACGCCGATCGTCCGACATTGCTCTACCATTTGAGCTGCTTGAAAATTAAGAATAGACTAACATAAAATAATAGAGGATTAGAAAATCTTAAAGGAAAAAGAAAATGGAGATGGGAGGTATCGATCCTCCTACCTATGTCTATCGTCGACCATCGCTCTACCATTTGAGCTACATCCCCTTGCTTGAAAATTAAGAATAGATTAACATAAAATAATAGATGATTATAAAAATCTTAAAGGAAAAAGAAAATGGAAATGGGAGGTATCGTCGACCATCGCTCTAATTTGAGCTTTGAAAATTAAGAATAGTTCAACATAAAATTAAATAATAGAGGATTAGAAAAATCTTAAAGGAAGAAAAAATGGGTACCTATGGCTATATCGCTCTACCATTTGAGCTACATCCCCTTGCTTTGAAAGTTAAGGTTAGATTAACGATAATACTTTTCGTGTTCTTGGATGAGACACCAGGAATGCGTAGAGCTCATCCAATCTTGCCGATCGATCAACGATGTGAAGAGAGCGCATTCTCTCCTCCAATCTCGTCTCGATCTTCCGCGCGAGGGATTCGTCTCCAACAAGCTGCTCGAGGTGTACGGTAGATTTGGACGGGTGGATCATGCCCGAGAGATCTTCGACTCCCTCGCGCGGCGCGATGATTTCTCCTGGATGCTCATGCTCCATGCCTACTCCCGGAATGGGTTCGTGGAAGAGGCGCGAATTGTCTTCCGCGAGATGCCCAATCCATTCCTCCCCTCGCACAACGCGATGCTGGCGGCATTCTCCAGCAAGGGGCAAATCGAGGAGTCCATCGAAGTCTTCTCTGCAATGCCGCAGCGCGATCTCATCTCCTGGAACTCGATGCTCGCGGCCTACGCTCACAGCGGCCAGATCGATCGAGCACAGCGCTTCTTCACCGAGATGCCCGCCTGGGACCTCGTCTCCTGGAATTCCTTCCTGGATTGCGCTTGCAAGAACGGAGAGCTCGATCGATCCAGGCACATTTTCGAGATCATGCCCACCCAAGACATCGTCTCCTGGAATTCGATCCTCGCGGCATTCTCGCGAAATGGGCATTTGGAGGAGGCCAAGAACACATTTGATACAATGCCGGAGAGAGATCTCTTCTCTTGGGCATCAATGCTTAAATCCTACGGAAGCAGTGGCCAAATCGAAGAAATGGGTCTCATAATCGTACAGGTGCCCGAGTGGGACGGTGTTCTTTGGAATGCCGCCATTGCGGTATATGCCCAAAATGGACATCTTTTCCGCGCAAAGTCAATGTTTGATTCCATGCCAAGCTGGAACACAGTGACGTGGAACTCCATGGTGGCAGCGTATATCCAGCACGGGCATTTGGACCGAGCAAAGAATCTTTTTCACACAATGCCAGAGAAGTCCCTAGTATCCTGCAACGCTATTGTCGCGGCATATGCCCAGAGTGGGCATCTAGGAGATGCCGAGCGAATCTTTGAGTCCATGCGACGCCACGACGTGGTTACGTGGAACTCCCTGCTGACTGGGTATGCCCACAAGGGGCATGTGGAGAAAGCAAAGCGGCTGTTTGATGAGATGCCCCAAAGGAATCTGGTGACGTGGAATGCCATCGTGGCAGCATATGCTTTGAACGGCCACGTCGACGAGGCCGAGCAGATGCACAACCAGATGCCCCAGAGGAATATAATATCGGCAACATGTATGCTTACGGCATATGCCCAATGCGGGCATGTATTTTCAGCAAAGCGAGTTTTTGATGAGTTGCCACAGCAAAATCTAGTGTCTTGGACCTGTATGCTAGGTGGGTTTACTCAAAATGGAGAAATTAGATTAGCGAAAAGGATGTTTGATGGGATTCCACTGCAAGACGCAGTTCTTTGTAGTGCTATGCTTGCCGCATATGCCCACAAAGGGCATACGGAAGATGCCAAAAGAATGTTTTTGGAGATGAAGCTAGTGATTGATCCTGAAGAGACTTGCTTTGTTTCGATGCTAATCACTTGCAGTCACGATGGAGAGCTCTACACTGGGAAATGCTGCTTTTCTTCTATGAGACAAGATTATCTTCACAATCCAACGAAACAACACTATGCTTGTATGATCGATTTGCTTGGAAGATCTGGATATCTAGATGATGCTCTGGGCCTTATAAACACAATGCCCTTTGTTCCAGACACTGTAGACTGGGTGTGCTTTCTTGGATCTTGCAAAAACCATGAAGATGCGATAGATTATGCTAGATTAGCTGTAGACAAGCTGATAAGCATTGACCCAAGGCATGGAGCTGCCTACATTTTGTCCTCAAGCATAAAAACAAAAGTCGTCAGTTCTTTCCAAGTGGAAAGCATATGCCAGTGGAATTGAAAAGGTTGAATTCTACACGTTTTTTTGCAGGTATCTTTGCCATGGAATCTTCGTTGGTTTAAAAATCGTTGTTGCCTACTATTGACTAAGACTTTGAGTAACTATCGCGACGCAAATGCCGGCGAAGGGCATCTTTTTTGTTCCCCGTAAAAAATGCCTCCCATTGGCTGGCGGGCTTGCTAAAGGAATCCCATCTATAGACGAAACCACGGCGAACGCGATTAAATAAAATTTAATAAGAATCCATAGCAAGGCAACAAGTATCCAGAGAAATTAATTGGATCCATTCCACATGGACGATCCAAAAGGTGAGGAGTGGATAAGTGCTGTCAGTTGAGTACGCCACCACTCCAACGGCCGCGATTCGGCCACGCAACCACGACAGCCCCATCCATTCTACAGCCGTCCATTAACCGACGGCTGCGCGACGTCCACCTGTCCACAAAAGCGCTAGCTACAAGAACCCTAATCTTCGCTTTTGTCCACATTTTCACGCAAGAAGAATGGGCGCTTGGGACGATGCCGAGGCTGGTGTTGCGGGGATCTACGGCGGCGGCGCTGGATCTAGCAAGGAATCGGCGCTGCCGAGGACGCCGTCGGTGGATGATCTGTTTGCCCCATTGTGGAGATTGGAGGTCCAGCAGCAGAGCCTAGGTCAGATCCAAGATCTCGGCGCAGCGAATTGGAAGAGCGTCGATCGCGTCCCCAAATTCCCAGCCGGGGGTAAGAAAGATCCACTGTTTTTACAAGCTCTGATCGAGAGTGATCAATGTTCCAGGCCCAGAGAGGGATTTCGCTCCCGGTCCGGCTCTTCCAGCTCTGGATCACTCTGTTCCTCCGTCGACCTCCACCTCGGAAGAGGACCAGCAGCTCCTGGGCGTGGACGACAAGAAGCAAAAGCGAATGCTTTCCAACCGCGAGTCCGCGCGTCGATCGAGGCTGAGGAAGCAGCAGCATATGGAGGAGCTGCGATCCCAGCTGCTGGATCTGCGAGCGCAGAACAGCCACATTCTTGGCAAGCTGAGCGTGGCATCGCAGCAGTTCTCGCAGATCAGCCATGACAACCAGCTCCTTCGCTTGCAAGCGTCGGAGCTCGGCCGCCAGCTGCAGCGATTGCATCGCCAAGCGAGCGTCCATCACCCGGATGGGCTTCACGCGTTTGGATTTGGGACGAGCCATTTGGATCCACCGGGCGTGGCTCTGCGACCCAGCTCGCCCCCTCCTCGCTCGGCCTACGCGATTGTCACGGATGTTCTCCAGGGATCAAGCTTGTGCTCGTGAGTAGCTCATTGCGATCGATCGATCGATCAAGAATTTTAAGTTCTTCCATCGATGGAAGAACCGAATTTTCGCCTGTACATCTAAAAGACTCCTATTCTTTCGTGCACAATCGTGTGCTTCCTTCTCTCGGATGAGAGATCTGGAGGAATTTGGGAGTTCTTTCTCCAGTTTCTTCGTAGTTCTCTCGGATCTGTGCTAGGATCAACGAGGAAATGTGATGGCAGTGGAATTTTTCCTAGTTTTCTCGGATTGAGATGAGGAAGGTCTGGCGAAGGAGAGGCTTTGAGTGGCTGCTGTGCAAAAGCGTATGTTCTTCCAGCATACGGTTTGGATACGATAAGATACGCTCCAGCTGCGCTGTCGTTTTGTCCGGTGCGAAAGCTTTTCAAGTGAAAGGAAAGGGCAAAGGGGCAAAAGAATAAATCTGCTTTAACTCTTTTATCTCTACAGTGAAAAAAAGTCAAAAAGGAGGGATAAGAATGATTCTGCCCTAATTTCTTTCTCCAAGTTCTTTGAATTTCTTGTCGATCTAGCTATGGCGCCCGCGGAGTCCTCCGATCTCGGCAGCGGCAACCAATGCGTGATGGTAAGCTACCGCTCGATCGAAATTTCGGTGGATTATCTCCTCTTCTTCCTTCTCCTCTCTCCCTCTCTCTCTCTGATCAGGTGGATGCATTCACTGGCGAGGGTCTGAGAGGGAATCCAGCGGCGGTTTGCGTTCTCTCCTGTGAAGCTGATCCCATGTCGATGCAGCGCGTAGCGACGGAGCTCAATGTCTCCCAGACAGCGTTCCTTGTGAAGAACAGCAGCGAGGAAGAGATTTCCCCTTTCGACTATGAGCTTCGTTGGTTTTCTCCTCGATGCGAGGTAACTTTAAATCAAGCTTATCATTGTGCTTTTTAACTCTTTTCTTTCCTATAGGTGCCTCTATGCGGTCATGGAACTTTGGCCTCGGCTTATTACCTCTTTGCTACAAAGGCTGTGAAGGGCGACTTGATTCGATTCAATACAAAGTCTGGAGTGTTGCCCGCTCGCAAGATCGGGACGTCGTCCAGTGAAAGTTTCCAAGTGGAGCTGGATTTTCCCGTCATGACAACTTCTCCTTGCGACAATGCCAACTTCGTCTTGACTGAAACTCTGGGTGGTGCCTCGGTTGTCGCCGTTTCAACGTCTGGACGGGGAGATCTCATTGCAAGTAAAGGCTTCTTTCCTGATACGTATCAACAATGTGTTTGTTTGTCGCTATTTTTCCAGCTAGAGCTCTCGTCCGAAGAGCACGTACGGGGCTTAAAACCAGACTTCGACGAGGTTTTGGCTTGCTCTGATTTTGGACTTCTCGTGACAGCAAAAGCCAGCGCTCATTCAGCGTATGATTTTGTTTCGCGGTTTTTTGCTCCGAGATTTGCCATCAACGAGGTACAGCATCAACATCGTGCTCTTCCCACAAGAGAAGTTTTCCGTTCTCTTTAGTAAAAAGCGTTTTGCTCGCAGGATCCAGTTTGTGGAAGTGCTCACTGCGCATTAGCTCCATACTGGGCGAAGAAGCTGCTCAAGAACACGCTCTCGGCTTGTCAAGTAAGAACAACACTGGATAATGCTGAAACAATTGCTAATGTTGAACAAATCCAGGTATCTGAGCGTGGTGGTAAGCTTGATTTGCAAGTCAACTGGGAGAGTATGCGTGTTTTAATGCGAGGAGAGGCTGTCATTAACTATGGGTATAAAGAATATCCTTTGAATATTTAAGTGCCTGCCACCTTTTTGCGCTTTATAAGCGGTTTAGGGTTCCCTTTCTTTGTGACATGGAGCTTCCGTTTTGGAGGAGTGGTGGACCGAGCGTGAGGGAGATGGTGGTCGAGATTGACGCCTTTCTCAGGCGGTACGAGTCTCTAGCGCCCGAAAAGAAAGCCTGGGCAAGGCTATGGCGGAGTTTCTCTACCAAGTCAACCACATCGAGGGCGAGGGGTTTGAGACGCTGGAAGAGACGCAGCGGGCCATCGCGAATGGAGCTTTGCAAGAGGAGGAAGGCGGCTGGAAACAGGACGATGACCGGCTGGAGCATGTCTCTTGCCTCCACCGGGCATTGCGAGCTTGGTTCCCGGCGTCCGCCACCGAGCGAGAGATGCCCGGGCTGGGCACCAAGAAGCTGCTCGAGTCCCACAAGTGCATGCTCGAGACTGTGGATCCCGAGATCGCTGGAAGGATGCGAGGTGAGCGAGTGTACATGTACACAATTGATGGTCACAAGCACTACTTCCTGGAGCCGGACAAGATCAAGAGCGCCCTCATCGCGCTGATGAATCGATCCAACAAGGAGCTGCGGGACATCTTTGCGATGCCCAGAGGTTTGGAGCGGGTGGAGCGCCTTGTCAAGTTTGCCGGGCGCTTCTTCTGGGAGTACGAGTCCATCCATCCCTTTGAGGATGGCAACGGAAGGACGGGAAGGATAATGCTGGCGCACGTACTGAGAAGCATCACCATCTTGGCTCCCAATATTTTGTTTGTGGATAAGTCGAGTGGGGTGGAGCCGCCGTTCGTGGAGAAGGAAGTCTACTCGAGGTGCTTTGAGAGGGCTAGATTATCCTGCGACCCCGCAGATCTCACGGCACTCATTGTAGAGGGCGTTTATGTCGGATGGAAAAGGTTCTTTGAAAGCCTAGAATAATTTAAAACTAGCTTTGCAACTATGAGAGCGTGATTGAGCATATCGGGAGCGACTTAGATTCTACCTAAACAAACAATAAACTTGTAGCCTATCGTTATTCACTAAATATTACACAAAATAATTGAAATAAAAATATCGTTGCAGTTCGCTTGAGGATGATTAAAAGAAGGCTCTTTGTTCTTGCGCCAAGGTAGCTAAGACGTCTCAAACGACAGCAATCCATATGTAGGACTGAAAAGCTGGCGAGGTTTGTGTGATTGTAAATAATGCACTGGACTGTCCGTGAAAGCTGAGATGGGTAAGTTATAATCTCAATTGTCTGTTTTTGTTGTTCAAAGCAGAGTGGTATAATATTTTTTGCGTCTTGATTGTAACGCCGGTCTGCAGTTTCTCTACAACCAAGAAAATGGATCGCTCAACAACTGCAGCAATCTTCAAGGGCATTAGCGTGAAAGAAATGCTTTCACTTATGGGAACATCGTAACGAAGAATGCATGCCCAGCGCCATCATCACTATGGCCAAAGCGTGCTTACTCGGAGCCGCTTGAAAGACATGAAGCCTGGTTGGATCCTCAAGGAACACTTGATCCCTGGAATCAAGTGACGAGCTCACGTCCCAGGCTCGAAACACAAACATCCGCTCCTGGGCACTTGTGCGACGACCAACGACATCCTTCACCACCCTCACCAGTCGCCTCCAGTTGATAGTGTCAACCAAAAAACTCGCGGAAAGACTCCGAGTTCCCGGTGCAGAAGATAACGAGCTGCTTCACCACCACCGGGTACTCGTCGTCCTCCCTCTTATCCAAGCACACAAAGTCTCCAAAGCTCTCCAGCATCGACGGCTCAAGCAGCCGCTGCAGCTGACCATCGCCACCGCCTGGCAGCTTTCTTGAGCTCCCCCAGGCTTGGAATGCCGTTATAGGAAGAGGCAATTTTTTGATAAAAAAAAGCCCTTTGATTTCAATTTCACCCAAACTTTCCACTCGTTGTCCAGCCTCTCTGTGGGGGAAAGCTTGTAAAACTGCGCAGCTCTCACCACCATCCGGCGCAAGAAGCGATCCTCTCCAGCCGCCGGCGTCGCATTGATCTAGGCATACGCAGTGACATCGCAGACAAACGAGTCCAGCACGGACGTGGGCATCTGTAGAAGTCCGCACCACCGTGTCTAGCTAGCGGCCGAAAGCTCTCCTCTATGAGCACGCTCAGCGCCCGCAAGCTTTGCTCGCAGGAGATGGAAACCGGAGGCGTTGGCGGTGACAAAGACGACGCGCTCCTTCGGTGTAGCTGGCCCGTCTCTGGCACAAGCGAGGGGGTAACACTGGAGAGGTTCCACCACCGCATCGAACTGAATGGCTCCACCTTGACGTCGTCTTTCACGGAGAGGGATTTCAGGGGAGCATGCCTTTGATCCGGATCTTGGCGACCTGGGTGTAGTGCAAGAAACCTTTTAGCCTTTGCGCTACTGGGAAGGCGGCGGTGGCGATCCTGGCGATTGCGGATGCGTCGCAGATCGAATCAGTTCTGCTGGGTTAGAATGCATAACACAGCACCCGGTTTGCTTATTTGGATTTATATCACCTCTTCTAATATATTAATGTTAATTATTTTTAAGTATTTAAAAGTACAAAATCAATTATACTATTTATTCTACTATAAAGCATTATCCTGATTATGAATCTTAATATGACTATATAAATATTAAATGTAGTTTCTTTTATTTCAAAATATATTTTTCGCCAAATATATTTTTGAAAGTAAAAGTTGTATAATCCTTTTATTGTATCATAGCAAGGAAGGGATCTTTTCACTGCATTCCATATCAATTCAATATGATTTATATGAATTTTAGTCATGGGATCAATAAAATTCTAAGAGTGGTTGACTATATAATAAGTAAAGTTCAATTGATTCAACCACTATGAATCATAACCAGCCCAACAAACATTATAAAAAATTAATTATATGAGTGCATGGAATATGGAAAGGGAATACAGAAATGTGCATATCAATTAACCCAAAAACCCTAGCTTATATACAGGAGCGAGTGGTCCGGATTGAAACCAATCCGACGGCTACCAAAATCCACTACATTAATATTAGTATACGGCATCGTAACCGTACACTTGGCCCTCACATCATCCCCTCCTCTCGGAATAATGGAAGGCCGTCAGGGTTCTCTTGTAGATGGGCCGGGATCTGGAGGAACGTCAGGAGGAGGCATCGGCGGATCTGTAGACGGTATTAACTGTTCCTGATCCCTTTGTATGAAGCGTTTTAACCGCTGCACATGCACAATCTCCGGAGGATTGGCCTGCTGAACGTCATGCCGAACCTCATAAACTTGCGGTCCAACTTGCCGCAACACCCGATACGGTCCTTTCCACTGCGCAAGGAGCCCCTTAGATAAACCACATACCGTAAGATGGGGAAAACAGACTAAC